CAAGGCCTAGGAAATAGTTTGCAATAGATTCAGAAGTTTTAGTTTCGTCCGTTAGATCAGGTACCAATTCTTCGTACTGTTTTTGGTAATGTTCAGAAAGTTTAGTTATGTTAAGAACGGTAAGGGTCATGGTAACGGTTACGGTAACGGTAACAGTAACAATAACATTTCTGTTTATGAACATAATAGCCTGGGGTCCTCAGGTAACCGTTACCGCAACCCTGATTTACAATGCGTCAATTTCCCTTCCCCGTATTATAGTGCATAATCGAAAACATACATAATGTAAACAATCAAAACCCCGATTGACCGTGGCCTTTTCCTTTCTCCCAATCTCCTTCTCCTTCTCTCTTTCCTCATTACCAACATCTTATCATAGTTTTACAATTTTTGTGGTTGTAAACTTTTGTTTATCTGGCATTTGTTCGTTCACATAATTCCAACAAGGATTATAATGCAGATAATTGCTAGATGTGTACACTCAGTTCAGTTCTTATAACATATAGTTAAACAACTAATTGGCTCAACATAAGAAACGTTTGTATGTAACCTACCTCGAGGCCCTGAAGGTCTGGTATAGTGGTAATATACGAAAACGATTCTGCAGAAAAATTGGGCTATATTGATACATTCTGACTTGAATGGCATACAGAATTTCTGCAGAAAAATTGGGCTATATTGAGACATTCTGACATGAATGGCTTACAGAATTTCTGCTCCAATATGCTCCAATAACGTGACGTCACGCTAATTTGGGAGATAAACACACAATTTTTAATTGTTAATTAAAATAGGTTAATGGTATTCAATTTCGAAACGCAAATTAACGTCATGACGGCAAAAGGTATATCTTTTATTTCCAATTTGCTGCGAAAATATTGGCAGATGTGCAAAAAATCCCAGGCCTACCTATACTGCAAATCAAATATCTCAAAGTGATCACTCGAATAGATTTATAGTAAAGGAAGTAAAACAGCATGAGATAAAGAAAAACGGTGTTCATGAAGGAGGGTTATTTTGTAAAAACTGGGGACCCCAGTTCCGCTGGTCACCTCCGACAAAAAATTTTGCAATAGACCCTCTCCTTCATAATTACTACAAAAGGTATAGTTGTAGCGCGATGCACTACTGGGTCGCGCGCGCGCATCAAATAATGCTTCTCGCAACCACAAAGAATGCAAATCGGCGAGATGCAAAGGATTGACATCAGACATCGTGAATCAAAATGTATAGTATTAAAATCCTATCTGTAACAGTAGAAATTATAAACATACAATTTAATAATACAGCAATCCTAAATAATTTCAGCGATAATCATTTTTCAGTTAATTGACGATGTCAATTCATGCCAGCTCGGCGCGGCACAGTAGCGCATCTCGCCGCGATCTAGCTGTGAGGAGCCTCATTGAGTGCGCGGCGCGGCACAGTAACGCATCGCGCTACAAATTTTTCAGTTACTCTTTTACTTAGTTACTTTTCAGTTTTATTAAAAATGTATTATTTCTTTGTATCACGTGGTGACCCCCACGGTCGCTTCACTATAGTCTGTATAGTGGCGTCTTCGACGCTACAGGGGGAGCCGCGCACTTCGTGCGCGGCGGGTCATACAACGTATGACAATTATTTCTTAATTATACAATATAAGCGCTCTTACTAAGTCGCGATCGCTCCACGCTCGCCCAAATTTTAAGAAAATTCTTGTGAAAGGCCCTTTAGGCATGAATAGAAAGTGATCTGGATCGGTGTATTTTTGCACGCTGATTCCGAATCCCCCCATGACGTAGGGTTAAAATGCTTACCTGGAGAGTTATGGGCAAAAAACCGTTTTGGTCAAGTGACAGGCTAGTAAAACGTAAATTCGATTATTTAGGGCTCGGGTTTAATTGACGCTGTCAATTCATTACTGGGCCGCGCTCAGCCTGTCATTCCGCCAAATCTTTATTCGGGCTGAGTGATTTACGACCTCCATCGCCTCAGAAAAAATGGCAGTACGCTCATTGGAAGTTGATGTGCGCGTGACCAGCATTCACGTGATCATTTAGAACCAATTGGGGCCTCAGAAAAGACACGTGCACGCAAACTGCCAATTGGAGAAAAGTAACGTATTAGCTAGAGGAGCCGCGCGCTGAGTTAGATTGTAAAATTTGATTATTGGATTGTAAAATCGAGCGATATGAGTGTCATCAGTGATGTGCTGCTCACTGCACCTCGTGTTACTGTTATCACACTGCACAGTAACTTCGGTACCTCCTTCATGTTTATGTTGTTCCTGTAGTTAAGATATATTTTGATGACCTTTTCGATTGCTCGTACGACATTTTAAAAAAATCGTCCAGTTGTCTACACTTGTTTATATTTAGCTGCCCGACATTTACTTCGTTTAAAGACCCTAGCGAAAGATGTTAGCTTTACTTAATATCAAAGTAACATGGTCCTGTCATGACTACCACTCTGATGAGGGATGGTTTAGTTTGTCAATCAGTTTGCAGTTATCTGAAGATTTTCTTTTATATACTCATGCTATGCATTTGAATTAAATTTCCGAACTAAGATCGTGTTACTTAAATCCAAATCAAGAGGTTCAGGGTTCAGAAGGAACAAAATATGTCAGATTGATGTTGACCATTATACTGTCTGTTTGTAGTTTTTATTTCTTTCGGACTGCCTGTTCGGGCCCGGCTACTTTTTGTCGTTTTCAAAGAAGGCCTGTGATCGAAAGAAATCTCTCAGATGTGATCTATAGATTAGTTCTGCCCTGCACCTTTTTCCTTTACAGTTAGTGTCAAAATTCTGAATTGGATCGTAGAAAAACGCTTTAATGGTCTGATATTCATACTGTACAATCTTTGATGATGGATTAAGATATTTAATCCTAGTTATTACTTATTTAATAGATCGCATTGTGATGGAAATCATGTGTTCTCGTACTCTATATTAGTCACTTTGTCCTTAATCCTAGATGTTGTAAAATATTTAGTTTGTTTTAACATTTTTGCAAGAATAGATTAGTCTCCCTGAATTGAAATCGGGAGTTAATCTATATAAATTAATTTAAAAAAAAGGAAGCAACTCACGGTATCACTCTCATAAGAGACATGTTTCATCATTTACCGGAGTTGCAACCAAATATACACAATAAGGTTTGGTACTTTATCCGTACCTCCCCTTTCATAGAAATAATAGCAAAAATATACACCTATCTTTAAGAGATCAACATCTGATATAAAACATTCGATGAACCAAAATTAAAACAATTTTCCTGTTAATAATTTATCTATATAAATTATCCTTTATTGTGAAATGCTTTGAGAGCGTCATAATTTGCTGTGTCTGATCTTACATATCAGTAGTGTGGATCGAACCAAACGTTTGATTTGTTTCTGTTAGTATCTGTGCTTTGTTTAACCACAGGATACTTTTTTCCCCAAATTTTACAGTCATCCTCCCAGACAATTATATTCTATATTATGTTATCTTTTACAGAGTATTGTATAGCTCATCTAAATGGGCCAAGTTGTGTAAAAATCTCAAATTTAATAAATAACATTTTCTAATTGATGTATAGCCAAGACGAGTTCGTTAGTGTTCTCCTTGGTAATTTCATGTTTAATTCCTCTTTAATTCCTCTTTAATTCCTCTTTAATTCCTCTTAAATTCCTCTTTAATTCCTCTTTAATTCCTCTTTAATTCCGTGTGTTATTGTCTGTCTCTCTTGACCCCACCTTAAAGAAACACCGGTTACTGCTAGTGTTAGTAATTTCACACAATGGGAGTCAAGAGGCTTATTTCATCAACCATCTAGTCTGTTAGCACTTGTTTTGGTCAACGGAACAACACAAGTGAAATATGATTCTTTGTTTCTGTTATCAGTGCTTGCTTTTACCTGAGGACCCCAGGCTATTATGTTCATTAATAGAGATTAGGCGGAATGACAGGCTGAGCGCGGCCCAGTTAGTGCGATTCTTTCAATTTTGCCTAGGTCTAACTTCCATATCAGTTCATATCGCCTTTGTGTGTTGTGCACTTGTGCCGTTCTTTTATGATATTCAACGATCATTCTGTGGTCTATAGTTCATAATTCGTTCTTTATCTATCCGTCTGCCAATCAAATGTTTTTGTAGTTTGTACAGTGTTGGTGGACAAGTTTTTAGCGTAGGTGTAAAATGATTTGAACGTTTAATATATCTGTTATTGCATCCGGATCACGTATACTTTCAACTTTTACTTTTATGACGAAGCCTCTTGTAGTGAAGGTTTGATCTCAGAGTCAACTAAACCATAAACAGTCTTCTAAGAATAATTAGTTAAAATATAGCTTCACTTATTTGTACTGGTTCCGGCTATCTCGTGTGTTTTAAGTTTCAAATCCCCGTGTTCTGTTCTCAGGAAGCTGCCGTTAAATATTTTGTCTCGGAATTTAATAAACTTCATCTTTCAGTCGTACAATCCACAATATATTTCGACAGTGATACTGACTCTGAGATATATGCTGAGAGCTCGCATTATTTCTTACTATCTAGTACCTGATTATATATTGATATTTACCTGGGATAGGACAGGCTTATGTGACCACTGACACAATTTATATCGTGTAATATCATAACTTTAGAAATCCTTGTATATCCCCTTGCCTGTTCTTTGTCACAAATTTTAGGCAAACAACTGTTTAATCCAAATTTATTGTTTCGAATTCGAATTTGCCACTCTTGCAACTCCTGTAACTCATAAATTTAATGAGGGACACCTGCCAATTTATCAATATCGATAAAAAAATATAACATTTGTTTGCTCGCATTATTTCTTAAGTTCTTTATCTTACTATCTCATGCCTGATTATAGACTTTGCCACCTAATAGTCCTGTTTTTTACACCTGTTGTTTTTGTACGGCGCCACCGTAAAGTTTTCCACCGTAGAGTCTTACGCCATAGATTCCCAGACCCACTTACATTCACCGTGTAGATCTCCTGTAAGACTAAGACTAAGAGTAAGAACATTTTAAACTCTGTTACCATTGAGACAGTTTCAAGTAGAACGAGTCACCGTGTAAAATAAACCGTACTATTATAGCTGATCATTGGCTGTTTATGACATAGAATACTATTCACCGACGTTTTTAGCAAACTGCGATTGTCATGACTACCTCAGTACCTCTCGATCCTCGTTATAATTAACATTATTATCTTGCTATACGTGGTGTTGGCTTTTATTTTCCGTTTCACTTTTGCAATTTCATCTATTTTGTCTTGGTCTAACTAGTGTGCTATCGTATCATGCTATCGTACCATGTTAGTTTACAATGCTTTTAGTCATTAGTGTCGCTCTTTTGTGATATTTAATGATCAATCTGCAGCACTTAGTTCTCTATTCATCCATCTGCGAAGAACATATTAGCTCACTTTTGATTATTTGAACCTTTGGTTATTGGTACATCTGTCAGTGTCAATGCAATCACGTCTACGATTTACTTTATAACGAAGCATCCTTCATCCTAGTTATCATAGACATTAGACATGGAGTAAATTAAACTGACTCTACTAACAATCAGGTAAAATATGACTTTACGTATTTGCACTGGTCCCAGTTATTTCGTGTGTTTTAAGTAGCACATCCCTGTTTTCTGTTCTCTGACCGATAGACTTAATAAATCAATGTGTGATTATTGTTTAAGAAAGTTGCCGGTAAATATCTTTTATCGGAAAGCCTGATCATTAAGTTGCACTATATATATAGATAGTGTTACTGATTCTGAGAAAGAATAAGGCATAGAGCTAGCATTATTTCTCATTACCTCATACCTGATTAGGTTGACATTCACCCGGGACCTTAGTCGTGCTCAATGCTCTTTGACACAATTTATATGGTGTCATGTCATGGTGTCATAGGATATTGGTAATTTCTTTATTGAAAGTCTCGCATTGTCGTCCTCATTTTGGCTTCATCTATCCATCTTAAACTGCCAAATATAAAATCATGGAGTTTAACATGCAATTGCGTACACACTTAAAAATTCTCGTTAATCCTCACATCTGTTCTTTTTCTCAAATTCTAGGCGAACAACTGTTTAATTCAAACTACTGTTCAATCGAAATCGAAATTTTAATTCACATTCTTATTTGCCATTTCATGTTAGATATAATATAAGTAGCAGTGGACGATTTCCGTTACCTCAGCTCTGTAGTCTGTAATGTACTCTGCCAATTGCAACACTTGACTAAATTTATTTTATATAATTATACTGTTTGACACTTTTATATAATTTGCTATTTTAATTCTTGAAACTGTTGTAAATCTTGTTACTTTGTTACCCTTACGTATGCTATTTATGACAATCTTCTACGGTAAAATCGTTATTATCACTCCAAGCCTTACTTGGTAACACTGTCCAACCTTCTTCTTCATATTACTACAAAGCTGTCCTCAATAACATAATATAGTTTTCGTCAGTCTCACTCAGAACATTTTTCTCAGGTACACATTGGTTTACACTCATTCTCAATGTTTGGCCCTTAAATCTTCCCCTGTACATTCAACAAATATATCCCGAATAAGGTGTCCACTATATAGTTACATAATATTATGTTGTGATCAATGATCGCGTTGTTTATCGTGAGTTGGCACTTGATGAATGTATAGTAGTGGGCCAATCAGGTTTATCAGCGTCTTTATCAACGCACTGTTCATTATTATTCTACCCTGATTCCGGATTCGCTATATAAGGATTGAATGGAAAAAAGGCAACCGCCCTGTGTAAACTATTTGAGCTCAATTAAAATGTAATAGCGTGTACATGGTTAATACTTATAGAATGGTGACTGGTGAGTGTGATAGCTCCTTCCGCATAATATAAGATGAATCTGAATATTTCAAACTCTGGTTACCACGGAGACAGTCTCAAGTAGAACATACACGAGTTGCCGTGTCAAATTAACCATAATAATTCAGTACCATTATCATTAGCGGTTTATGACGTAGCTTATATCAGCAGCGATGTTTTTACTGCTAGCTTTATTGTTTTCAGTTGTCTCATTTATTTCAAAGGTACCGTACGCGTACCGGCCTTAACTTGTCTTTAACTATAAATTTAACGATATACGCAGTCATTTTAGATGTAACTGCACATGCTGCCATGCTGGTGAGAGTATAAAGATGTAACAAGCTTCGACGGTAAAATCGTTATAGTCACTCTAAACCCAGCCCAACTTGGCTATACTGTCTAACCTTCTCCTTCATATTAATATATAACTGCGAAGCTGTCCTCAACAACATGATATAGTTTCCTCTGTCTCACTGAGAAATTTTTCTAGGTAAATTACATAGCCTTCCTTGCTATATGATATAATTTATCGTGAGTTGGTACTTTATACATGTATAGGGTGTAGTGGTCCAAAAGTCAGTGGGTATATGTTGGCCTCAATTGCTCCGCCGTGTTTTACATTTGAGAACTGTAGCTTTGCAGATGTAATGCCATATAACTGTTTTTACCATGGTAAATGGTTCGACGAGATTCCGTCGTCGAAATTTATGGTTTTGCATATTTGCACAGTGGAACTATCAGGTTTATTAAGTATCAACGTCTTTATCAACGCAGCTGCGCATAATTATTCTACTTAGTTTAACTCTCTTTCTATTTTAGCTGAATTCCATTCCCTCCCTGGCCCTCTTCGAGATGATTGCTTCCGTCAATTGCGAAGGACTCGCTCAAGGTAAGAAATTGACTCTCACGTATTTTTATAAGTTCAGATTAATCGTTTTAGCGATATAATGGGGGGGTACCAATGGCATAGATGGCATAATGGAGAATTGGCCAATAAAAATTTCCATTTATGCCATAAAACGTATGCCATTTATGCCATTTTTGATATAATACATTTCTATTTTCTTTATTTGTCATATGAATCTTTAACAATCATTCCAAGCGTTATAAAGCATGAAACATGTCTCTTATTCAAGTACTAATAATAATTTGCGAATTTATAGTCAAATATGAAGACCTAAATTCATGGCATAAATGGAGAATTGGCCAATAAAAATTTCCATTTATGCCATAAAACGTATGCCATTTATGCCATTTTATGCCATTGGTACCCCCCCGATATAATATAATACTAAGACAAAAGTTCCGATTTTATGCGAATATTCAATTTATTTGTTTAGAGTTTGCCATGAATAAGTATTAAGTATTTGTTAATGTGGCGGCTAGAATAACTAGATTAGCCATCTTGAGCTATGATTTATCATGAAATACTTACAATTTCGACAGTTGCTTTTTAAACCTTAACTCGATAATTTTAGATAGAGAGATAATATTAAGACGAGCGGATCGATAAATCGAAGAATTAATTCATAAACTCGATTGTGTTTCATATAGTTTCATCTGCAAGATGGTAGACTTCTTCACTTCTCAGTTCTCAAAGCTCGACGATCTTCATATTATATTATACTTATAGGATAAAGGTTGTTATTTTATTTTTTAAATTAAGTACATTCATTTAACAATTCACTTTATTTGATAGCTTCTTTTGATTAACCCCTCCAAGCTCGATATTATATTTTATCATTAATATTATCTGCCATTTGTTCAATTAGTTACATTTCCAGGGTCAAATTACAGATAGTAATTGAGAGCGGCTTTAGAAATCAGGGAACGTGACCTATACATAGCATAGATTATCTCTTAATCAGGTAACATGTTAAATTGAGGGTAATTGTTACAATCTCTTAATGTGTACGGCAGATTATATCGTTTATAGTCATAACAAATATTTGTCCACCTACATGTTTACAATTGGCCCTTACTCACACATATAACCAATACTCCACACTTTCCTGTTACTGGCGACCCCAGGCTATAATTATCATTAACATAGACATTCGGTGAAATGAAAGGCTGGGCGCCACCCAGTCTGAGGGTTACTGTGCCCAGTAACTCCACCGTCTACACGTGCGCGCGGCTCTAACGGTGCTTCAATCGAAGCAATGGGGAGCAATGCTAATTATAGTGGTTACACTCACAGTCACACACACACACACAGAATAGTAAACCTAAGAGTTCATGAATCCGATATTTTGGAACAGTAAGACAGAATTGAGACAAATTTGGAACAGGCTTTTGGGGCAGTAGTTATGCCTGGACTGACTTAAAATTGATCTGGTATAAGGGGCATGGGAACTAACATGTTCAGTCACTGATCAGAAGTGCCAAATGATCCCCTGGTTCATGAAATGAACGAAATGAACAAAAATGAACTTTCCATAAAATCGCCTGAAATGAGTTGAAATCAATCAGAATCGATTGGTATTGATACTAGGAGTATTCCTGAAAAGTTTGGAGGCTCTAGCATGCTCAGAAAGGGCTCTAAGGGCAATGTCCCATTTTGGTTTCAGAGTAGTTGAGATTTTGGAACTGGATTGAGACAAATTTGGAACAGGCTTTTGGGCAGTAGTTATGCCTGGACTGACTTAAAATTGATCTGTTATGGTAGAGGGGCAATGGGCATGTGAACTAACATGTTCAGTCTCTCAGAAGTGCCAAATAATCCCTTGGTTCATGAAATGAACGAAATGAATAAAAATGAACTTGATCCTAAAATCGTTGTAATCACTCTAACATCTAAACCCAGCCCAACTTGGCAACACTGTCCAACCTTCTCCTTCATATATGATATAATTGCATAATTCTCCTTAGTAACCCGTCCCCGTCGCCATAGTTACAGACGTAAACAGGACATGAGTGGAATATCGTTCATAAAAGGCTATAAGCAAGCATACTAACTAATCCGCTTTACCAAGGTGTGTCATATAATGTACATACAATTATTTACACGCAATATTTGGCGCTTAAATCTGCCCCGTACATTCAACAACTATATTCCGGGCGAATAAGGTGTCCACTTCATAGTTAAATATTGTGATCATTTAGTCGCGTTGTTTATCGTGAGTTGGTACTTGATGAATGTATATAATAAGGGCGGGCCAAACATCAGTTGGTATACGTTGGCCTCAATAGCTCCGCCGTGTTTTACATTTTACTGTAGCTTTGCAGATGGCATATAACTGTATTTACTATGGTTCGACGAGATTCCGTCGTCAAAATGTATGTTTTTGCATATTTGTACAGTGGAACAATCAGGTTTATCAACTATCAACGTCTTTATCAACGCATTATTATTCTACTCAGTTTAACCCTCTTTCTATTTCAGCTGAATTCTGTTCAACGAGTACAGTAGACACAAGACAACCTCAAGAAAGCTTCTAGACTACTCCGCTTACTGTCACAACACTATGTAAGTTCATAATTTTACGAATTTAAGAATTATAACACATTTCTTTCTTATTTAAATACCTGAACCTTTTTCTATTGAAATCTTCTATATTAATCAATTGTATTATATTTATATAATATACAGTGCAGTATACACTATACATTACACAAATATGTTAACTCAAGGTAGTAATCAAGTTTTAATTTATGGACCGAACTGAAAATGTATCAAAGGTAAACAAAGGATCCATACCCCTGTTGCCAGAAATAGACTTTAATAACACTGTAAAAAACGTACTGTGCAGAATTTGGGCTCAACGTATTTGAGCATACAAGATTTAATATATTATTTGAACTTAATCTAAAATCCTCAATCTAAATAGTTTCTCCAAAATGTCTTATTTAATTAATTACCATTAAGTAAGTATACATTCAATTTGAACATATGATTTATAATATATCCAAACAAATGTGTAATTCACCGGTTGACTCATGATTAGGTCTCCGCTATTTTGCGATAAACGAAAATTGAGACGAGGTTACTTAAAATATATCGTTAGTTATAACTAGTATGTCCCTCTTCACCCTGTCACTCAGTCCTGGCACGATTCCTTCAATATCTTCCAAATTAAAAATATGTCCGCATTCATTTGTGAGAAGTTTAATGACTCCTTCCGTGAGTTCACAGTCCAGAAAGGGTCTGTTGTCACTATAGGACGTCAGCTGGCATGCTAACGCTTTTGCAAAGAACTCCCTATCTTCTTTCGTCACTGTGCGTCTAGGTTCTGGAAATATTATGACTGATATTGCTGATTCTTCACCACTCGCAGGAGCACAAAGTTAAATTGTTGTTGTTGTTATCATTACTTTTCGATAAAAGCAAAAAAGCACAGTTTAGGCATGAACGTTACAAATATTACATGCGATTTAAAACATTCGGTACTAAGTACTCAGTACTCACGCATGTCTACATCCGACCTCCTCTGCTTGTTATTCCGTTCCCGGAGTCTTTGAATGAGTGGGTCTTGGGAAGGTCTGCAAACATCGCAGCAAGTATCGTTATAAACGTTGTCATGCAGCTTGAGTACCCCTGATGACATTTATGTCATCGCATTGAAATGGCTAAAATTTGTGATTTCAAATGCCGTTGGAGAACTTAAAGTATTTGCCAACTAATAAAGGATATTGAATTACTTTTTCAATTGTAGGACTACGTGGAGCTGTTTTACCTTTAAAGGTACCAGAAAGTATTATCCTACGGCAAGTTCCATTCTGGTCGCGGTACATAAGACACTCTCCGTCCATATCCCTGGTCTTGTTGTGCGTAAATACAATACATATCGCCTTTAGATTTGCACTTCTCCCAGCCCGACCTGAGATTAAAAAGCAACGTTTAAGACAATTAAGCTCGTTAAACCTTTAATAGAGGTATATGTGCAGAGCGCTCTATAAAATTATTACAAATAACTTAATTGTTTCACATTACCCACCAATCATCTGGATGAAATCCTCTGCCGTACGAGCCATTTTCGAATGGATGACGTATTGGATCCCTAAAGAATATACATTTTTATCAAATTTACTATTAACCGTGTTTAACACAGAGAATCCATTTGTTTGAAATAGACTGTTTAAAGGTGTTTAAAATAGTCTTCGATATACTTGGTGCCAAACATAGTACATACCTGCTGCATCAAATCCCATAGATAAGGCACTTGTAGCTATGACGAATTTGATACGCCCATTGATATTCATTAGATCAGCCGCTATTTCTTCCTGTTTACTGTCTGGTATCTGGGAGTGAAATACTTCAACAAGACTAATTTTCCTCGGATCCTTTTTGAGTGCCTGAAATTAAGAAAATGTCACTGGTAATTGGTAAATAATGAGTTCCGTACACAGTTAACTTTAGTTAAGTCGGTAGATGGTTTAAATGCTGATAACCCGGCACAAAAAGAAATTTTTAAACAACAGTTTAACAAGTTTAAGTATGAACAAGTTAAATGGTTATGTCAGTCTTCAATATTTTATATCCCATATAAGCTAAACATGTGGCCATAAAATGAATTATTTAAGTATGTGCACAATCAATCATATTAATTGTATATATGCTGGCAAATAACCATTTTTACCTGCATGAATTCTAAATATCTATATCCGCAGTCAACCAACGAGTTTTCGAAGATTATCACCCTGGGACACTCTTCTGCTTCATTCTCAAGTAAGGACACCAGTGGTACTATGTCTAGCTTTCCCGGGATATTAATTAAAGAAATCCTGCTATTAACAGGATTTTGCGAGATTCTCATCAACTGATGCAACATTACAGAAAGTGTCACATATGCTCTAGTTCTTTCTAAATGTTAAAGCAGAGAAATCTGGCTATATAATATATTTATCAAATAAATGTGTAATAACAACAGATGTATACAATTACTGCAATTCTAAAAAATTTAAGTTTACATTAATGTGCTGATACGATACACTCCAAAATATTCCTAATTTTGTGTTGTTATCATAATCCCATTCCGCAGGGCACAACACCACAACTTCAGAAGATGCAAGGAGCGTGTTCTTAACTCTCCAAAACGAAGGTTGGTGAACAATAGAAAAATTGATATTTTGTTGGTTGGCGTTATCATGGTGAGAAACCAGGGGTATTACGAGATATTATAACGTCCCGAAGGTCATTTTAATTGTAATATTTATCCAATCTAGTACAATAAGTCCGCAGACTGTATAATAACAGTATCCCCTGAATCAAGCAAACAGGTGTTTGTGAATAGTTCAAAATAGATTCAAATGTGGTCTCTCGGATATAATTAGTTACTAATAATATTGATTGCTCAATGAAATAAATGATTACGATTAAAATGTGGTATATAAGTCGTTCGTTTTAAGTATTATCAGTTGCCATCATCAACAACAACAACTATTCCAATTCCTGACATGGTACTCTTCTGTCTAATGGACGAAATTAATGGACCCACCGCCTCCCTCGAGACTTCCTATTCCAGAAAAACCTCCTAAAGAGCTCCATGTCCTGTTCTGGGTGTAATGCATCTATGTCCCTGGTTCCCTCCTCGTCCTCGAAGTCTCCAGATGGCCTGATATGGCGCTGCTCCCCCTGCAAGAAGTACAAGAATATCAGAACAGACAGCATCCTCTCTGGACAGAAGCTCGCTCTCAAGACCTTCATACAACTGCTGTTCGCAGAGTAGGGCTGAGTTCATCCGTTTCGTTTTCTCTGAGACCATAGTTGTAGTTGTTCAAGAAGGAGTTGATTATAGAAATGATTGATGCAGTCTGATAATAGTTATTCTTTATATATTGCATGATGTGAACTGATCTCGTAAGGTTGCTTAATCGTTTAATAAGCCTTGACACCACCGCTGATTGAAATTCGCGTGCGATGATGTGAACCCTGCTTGATTCAGGGGATGATGTGAACCCTGCTCGATTCAATGATTCAGGGGATGATGTGAACCCTGCTTGATTCAGGGGATACTGTTATTATACAGTAATATGGGGGGGGGTCCAAGGGGAACTTTGGGGAACTTTGGGAAAGTCCCCCAAGATTTCTGAAGTTCCCCAAAAAAAAGTTCCCCAAAACTCCCCAAAATTCCCCAAAATTCCCCAAAATTATTCAAAATTATTTAAAATTATTCAAAATTATTCAAAATTATTCAAAATTATTCAAAATTATTCAAAATTTCTCTAATATACATTAATACCCATTAATGTTAACATGTATGTTATTATAAGGTATAATCTTAACTTACTTGTTGATACATGCAGCATGATAATTTGTTTGGCATTATAATTTTTTTGGGGAACTTTGGGGAATTTTGGGGAATTTTGGGGAACTTTCTGAAGTTCCCCAAAAAAAAGTTCCCCAAAATTCCCCAAAATTATTTGTTTCATTGATAATTTTTTGGGGAACTTTGGGAAAGTCCCCCAGGTTTCCTGAAGTTCCCCAAAAAAAAGTTCCCCAAAACTCCCCAAAGTTCCCCTTGGACCCCCCCCCTAATATGATCTGGTAGACAGGTGTCTGCGGACAACTGACCGCGGACAGTTGTCCGCGGACAGTGGTCGGGCTATCTCGATACTGCCCGAGAATGTTGGGTTAATACAGTGGGTGCTTAATATGTTTACGGCATGTCTAAATAAGAGAGTTTGAATGCATGTCACGTGATATAGTTAACAGTCAGTGTAATTACGAGTCAGGGAATGTGTCTAGCTATACAGGGCCCTTTGGTGTATTTGTAATAAATTTTTTAGTGACGTGACACCTCTTAGTAATAAGTAGTGACGATTAACGGGACAAATTATGGTTAATTTTCTAAAAAACTAGCAAATATGTCACCTTTAGATAAAAAAAAGGACCCACGCTCAAACATTTTTCGAGGTACGTTAAGCGCGCGCACCGCAGTTCCTTTTATATGATTATGACGTATCGTCTCGGTTTAACAATCATAACGTGATCACGTACTGTACGTGACGTATAATCTTACTTATTTAGTCAACAAAGAGTGTGAGAGAGTGTGAAAGTAAAAGTACTATACTATACTGCGAAACGGACAAATTGGTTTAGTCAATAAACTGGGATGAACCGCTTTTGGTGTTACGCCTTACGGTCAGATAAATAAACTACTGTATTCTGGTCCCAATAGTTTACTGTGACTTTTGAGTTGAAGATTAGGCGTACATCATAATGTCCCTAGTGTTTTGTTTAGCTCACCAAGGTTTAAGGACTATTTGAAAGTGAGGGATTTTACTAAGAAGAAGCAAACATCGACCAATAGCTCTTATTAATGCTATTTGTTTGTTTAAAAGGCGAAATGTGGGATTCTATTCGCTTTAAATCCGGTTCCATAATGATACTTGACTTAGTGCGGCTTTGATGTCCGAGCAAAGCTATTATAAGTTAAACCTTAGTTTGTTAAAGTTGGCGGTTTTTCAAGAATCTCCGCCATACTGTCCATATCTCAGTTCTCGATAGGCGTAGAATCGTATCATACTGATAACTGATGTTGTGAGCAAAAACAACATAACCCCTCCCGCCTTGAGCCTTCCTGCTCGATATTATAATATTATATAAATTAGTGCTATCCCCAGATGGGTTTAAAGCTAATGGTGCTACTAATAGTTTTGCCTTTGGTATTTGAGACGGGTTTTGAGAAAATCTCTCTAAACAGGCATATTTACATGTTAGTGTGTTACTGAAATCTGTAATCTTTTCGGCAAATGCCAGCTACTGTAATAAACCAGAGTTATAGCATATATTCTAAGATGACACTTATACGCAGCTCTGAACATCATACATTCTATTCAACTGTAATTATAGTGTTTAGAATTTGTATAATGTACTGGCACGTCTGCCAGCTTTATTCTGACACAATAGATATAAATCACTCTACACGACACCGGAACTTCGATATGTTCCTAAGTTATAAGTTACGTGAATTTTCAAGTGCATACGGTAAAGTGATCTTTCCTTCAGTTACGCAATTAAATAACTATTCGAAAACTGAAAGACTAGTTGTTCCCCTTGAAGATGTATGTACAGTAAAGCTTTGAACCCCGGCCCAAATTAATATCGCCTCAATCGAAAGTTGCTGGTAACAACTTATAAGTCAGTCTGATATTTCAGTCTCGGTGTAATTTTGTGTCGCCAAGCAAGGATAAATATACAGGGGGGAGGGGGGCAAAAGTCCTAATAGCTCAGTCACTGAGTGCCCAATCGAAATAATTCAATCGCATTACATTTGTCCTGAAAAAAATGAGAATTCTGGTTTCTCATATGACCGAGATATAATACTATAATATCTTCGCCACAGTATGCCATCTGCAAAGCAACAACCCTCTAAAATAAGACACGACGTTGGTATAAGACCCAACTTATGCCCACTGACCAGAGCTGGTCCATATTCCAGAACTCAGAAGTCGATGGTAACCCTCCTGTTATGAGAGGGGGGGGGGGGGCAACGTAGAATTCTACTCTACTTTATTCTACTTTATTCTACTTTATTCTACGTTCCCCCCCCCCCCCCCCCCCTATGAGAATATTCTCTAGCTGCTGTACGCTGCTTAGGATTTGTTTTTGTTCAGGGGCAGGCTTGTCACATAGGTCCAGGGCTTCCGGACTTTTGGGCATGGTGCAGGTTGTGGTACACACTCAACTAGGTGGTCTGAGAGTCGGAAAACCTCCAAAAAGAGATGTCATCAGAATGTAAGCCACTACCTGACTAACCTGTGAATAGAGTTTTCTAGACTCAATAATCATGGCAGGTAGTATCTTCGGTGCGTTGCTGAGATACCGATTTAGTGAGTAGTAGGATGGTCATCAAATCAGAAAAGGCAGACCTGAGTTGATAGCACGGTACTTGTAACGGTTTCCTCATTCTGCTCTCAGACTGACTAATGTCTCCACTTTTTTATCTCCTGTTAAGATTATCATTTCTCCGCTGTTAGGATTGTTCAATTATGCTTTTTATTTTGGACACACCATTGAGCCAGATTGTCGCAGCGTATGTCAGAGAAGTTCTGAGTATAAATATTATATAGGCTTATTCTGTCACAAACAATGAATTATTAATCTCATTTGCCCTATCCCCAAGTTCTGATAAGTCTACAAAGAAGATCAGTAAAAAATAACTGGGATATCATTACAGTTATTAAAGTTCCGATCGATGCTATTAGCCCAAATGAATGGGTTTTTAAATAGATTCTAAACGAACACTTATTCTTTCAGGAGGGGATCTGCAATAAACAAAGACGATATATTTTTGGCCAGAAATTTGCGGAGTTCCTTCGTCTTGATATCGGTCTTGGCTGCAGTTGTATCTCTCGAAATCAGGTATTCACTATTAAAAGCTATCCTGCCTGGCTTAAATCCTGGTTGTTAAAATTAAAAGCCTTTTTGCATGGTCATCTTTAATTAAAAATAAATCAGCTTTGTTAATAATTTACTGTCGTCTCCTTGGTTGGAAGTTGGACATTTTCTCTCATTTTCACACGTAGAATCTTATTTTCTTTCCCTCAGTGACGGTTTGAGGAGACACTGCATCTCACTGCTCGGTGGAGACACGGGGATATGAAGCTGTTAATCCCTCTTAAAGTCCACTGCACGTTGTCACAGAGCCTCAGTCCGATCAGAGCAAGCAGCAAAGATCAAAGGAGACTTTTCCTCCAATGTCAAACAGATAAATTTCGACAGAAAACTTCTAGCAGACCTCGGATGATTTAGGAAAGTAAACATACTTGCAATCTGTAAGACAAGTGACTCTACAGGAACTAGCAAGAGGCAGAGAAAGTGAAGAAGATTCGACGACCGAAGCCTAGCAGATAAAATAATAGCCGATGAATTTGATACGACATCATAAAATACTGGAGTCCACAAAGGAGCATGTCCTACTTTTCAGCCGCTCCTCAATCGACAGATCCTCTTGATGGCTTGCAGACATCACGTCCTTGAGGCGGATCTTGTAAGAGGATCTGCCTCTAAGCAACTGTTCGGTGACACAACATCACTTGAAGTAACCCTTTTTAAGATCATGAAGACCTCCTGGGAAGATCTCAATCTGCAGAACATTGTCCTTCCTGATATCCCTACTTGCAACAGGAACGGAAGATCTTCTATCCTTCATTACTCAAATCCGTCAACTCAACAACCAGCCCAGGAGAATAAAAGGAATTACTAGAGCTAAACTTATCCATGGAGAAAGCATAGAGATGAAGAAAGGATGCGTCTTCCAGATACAAAGACCTGGAGCTGACCACCATGTCAGATGGATGGCTAAGTCCATATACATTATGAAAATGATTCTACTTCACTAGATACCACTTCACTGGACGAAGAAGAGAGACGTGCAGAAGATGGCTCACGTTGTTGTCTTCGTTTACTTAAGAGCTTGGTTCAACGCTCCTTTCCTTGAATCTGCAGCCTCCGCCGACACCCGTTTGTTACACTTACAGAGTCTTCAGAAGTACAAGAGTGTGGACAGAGTATTAGCCATCATCACGACAGTCCTCAAGACATACCTTTAGAGCGAAGAACTCTCCTTGCAGCAAGAATAGGCCAACAAACTCTTGAAGCAATTCAAGTTGGAACTTGAAAACTTGTGTTCGGTTGTTAATGTTATTGAGCTTTATGAACGTCAAATAAGCCTAATTGATGAAAAATTATTCTGATATGTTTTGGTTTTATGACCAGGGGTTATGACAAATATATAATAAGGATGTTGGTCTAGTTTCTCGTACGGGTTTTCAACATACGCTTTAGTCCTACACTCTAGTTTGGGGTTGGATTTTAAATAGTCACTTGAAGTACGTGTTAAAGTATCCTACGTGTTGGTCGAGTGTTGAGTGATTAAACATCTTGATCGCATGTTTATTGTTTACTGTTTAGTGTAGACCTTGTTCAGTAGAAACTCAGTACGGTGGTCCGCGGTAAATTTCATTCTTTATTATACGAAAATGCATGACCTGCATGAGGTATGTTACCTGGGGACCCCAGGCTATAATGTTCCGCCGAATAGAGATTCGGCGGAATGACAGACTAAGCGCCGCCCAGTAAGAGGTATGATAATACTGGGTTTCGAAATCTTTTAAATATCTATTCGATTGAGTCTTATTACCTGGGGACCCCGTTTTAAATTCTCATAAACGTATCAATTGAATATATTTACTAAAACTCAAGTCTCATATTAAAGTATTAATATGACAACTGTGTTTAAGAACACAAAGCCCGGGGTCCCCGGGTAAATTTAAAGCTAGGAATCATTATATTTATAAGTGAATTGTGTATTTGGTACTGGCCATAGCACTCCCGTCAATCTATTTGTCATGTCAATAGTTTACTGTTTACGAATGAGTCCATCATGTACTGTTCTCTTTGATGTATGTAATCAAATTATTAGATTATTAAAGTTAACATTTTGTGAAATGTCAATCACTTTATTATATTTACCTCAACCTGTAGACCTCTGGCTTTTAACACAATTGATATACCATATATAATATATGGTGGAACTACATCGGTCGCGTTTTTGTGTGGAATGCTAGGCGAGTTGTTATGTGATCATATTCATTAATTAATAATAGTTATATAATCATGAAACCTTTGATCCGTCAAAGTTCGGAATTGCAATTGACCAAAGGACATGAGGAGAAACTTCATGAAGTATCACGCTACTGCCTACTGCACCTAGAACTTACATTTCTCTTGTTGCCACTGTCACGTACTTCTTCAAAAACGTATGAACGGTCTTCAGATATGAGATTATTACATTACAAAACATATATTTTGCGCGCTCAGCATTCCACGCGCAAAAACGCGCCCGTTTAGAGAGACTTGCGCGTATTAGAGGGTTCAGTCTCACCAGGCTATGTTAATGAACATAATAAGCCTGGGGTCCTCAGGTAATCAATTCATGGCAGCACGGCGCGGCAAAGTAGCGCTGTGAGAAGCCTCATTGAGTGCGCGGCGCGGCACAGTAACGCATCGCGCATCAAGGCTCGGGTTAGGGTTAGGGTTGTGGTTGATTCACGATGTCAATCCTTCGCAGCTCGGTGAGGCAGTGGTGCATCTCGCCGATCTACCGAAGTGGTTGCGAGAAGCATTATTTGATGCGCGCGCGACCCAGTAGTGCATCGCGCTACAAGGGTTGTGGTTAAGATTATGGATAGCTTCGGGGTTATGGTTACGGTTAGGGTTGGGATTAGGGTTTATGTAAAACCGTTTTGTACGGCTGCAAAACCAAAAAACCAAAGTCACGTGAAATTTTTGGGCGAGCGATTTAGTAAAAGCCCAATATAAGACCCCTTAAAAAATTAAATGTCTTTTTACTGTTTACTTCTGGCCAAGAAAACATAATTTAACAAACAACAAAAATGAAACACAAAAAAGTTAAAAACAGAAGATCTATAATTGTTTATCTTTTTATAAAGGCATAGTATAATTATAATTGCAAATAAAACGAAACAAAATTTGACATTGCATATACAAAATTATTTGCAGCGATTATAGTTTAGCATTGCATTATCAAATAGCTGTCTGCGCAGCGTAAGAGTTAAATTTAAACAATTACATTTTTGATTTTACAAAACCTTTTTGTGCAGCTATCAAAAAAACTTTACTAATCATTTTACATGGCAAAATGAAAAAAATCAAAACAGTTTTTTAAATTCAAATTGTCTGTATTTTTAAAATTTGTTTCGCATCAAAGAAAATATTTTGTATTTAAAAACTCAATCTAGTCATTAAGTAAAAAATGATTAGGAAAAAATCACCTATAGAGCAAGTTGAGCAAGTTGTATTGTAGAGTATGTAGCAAAGAAACGTTTTATAAATCTTTACTCCACTGGGAAGTATGAATAAATTAAATTTTGTAATGTTGTTTCTATTCATGATTAATATTTGATAAATTATTACCTTTAAATTTGATGGAGAAATAGTTATTTTTCCATGTAGTGTGATGATATGTACTTTGTAGACATTAGTGATGATGTTATGTCATAATTTTTACTTTACTTTACTTTACTTTATAAGTAGCATAATTCAATCCCTCAATCTTTCCTAATACTTCGTCCGAAACATATCAAAAATGACTATCATTTACAGATCCGTTTAAAATAGTCTCTTTTTTGAAAGCCTCTAAATCTTAACACTGTCCCACAATTCTTGATATCCGAGGGGAGTTTGTTCCAATATGGTCTCACCCTCTCCGGAACAAAAGAACTGTGGACTTTTACTGCAACTACTGTTTGATACCACATTAAGACCAGATCTGCTCATACTGAAAAAACCAGCTCGGTAATTGGCCAAACCACTTATCATTTTAAAAGATTCAATGAGGTCCCAGGCCCCACGTATTCGCCGCTCTGCCAGCGTTGTTAAATTGAGGATTTCCAGTCGACGACTGTATGGAAGAGTACCCACCTCGTCAATCAGACGGGATACAAGGATACAAGGATACAAGGATACAAGGATACAAAAGTGATAATTATTTTATTGAATTCACAATAGTTATAATTCTGAAATAATTTAAGGTTACACAATTCTAGTTATTTACAAATGTGTAGGGATAAAATAGAAATGTTTTATAATTCTTATTTTGAGGTCCTATAGCATTATGCATTGGCCAGTATTTGAGTGGAAATCTGGGCTCTTATAGTAGGCTGTAAAATTTTCGTTCACAGAGAGAATTGAATGGATTGCTCTTGCTGTGGCAGTAAATTTTGTAGGGTCTAGTGTTTTATCGGATAGCAAACCGGCTAGGTCAGTAATATTTTTGGGATCGAAGTTAAATTTTTCTCTAACTGAGGAGTAGAGTAAACAGTCAGTTAGAACATGAATTTTTTCCTCAATAGGCTTAAGCCCCTTGCTGAAAAAGCAGAAAGTGCACCATCGATGTTCTCTTGGTACTAGGGGGGTTTCGTAACGGCCCCTCTCAATGTAAAGATTGTGGCAGCTAATACGAAACCTTGTTAAGCTTTTCGAGCATCAGGGATCTTAACCACTCCTAAGTATGTTTCTGGTTCAAAATCATGTTTAATTTGATTGTAGAATTCTAATTTAGGTGAGGATGCCTTGGCAGATTTTCAGGTATCCACAAATTCTTCCCTCATTTTGTGACTGCAGCAGCCTATATTTGATGCTTATGAATGGACAGACAAGGACCACTTGATAAACTTAAGGTGGAATCTTTCATAATGGTCTTGTGAGATGTACTTGAGAGTATGCTGGGGGTTGGCTTTGCTATCTGTTTTGGAGAGGTATCTCATGGTTTTTGAGTGGGGACATAAGATTTGGCAGCCATAGAGCAGGATCGGTTTTATTAGAGAGTCAAATAGAATGTTTATTGTTTAGGGAACGGTGAGAGAGGGCATCTTTAACGATATTGCCTTTGAGGCCATAGAGAGCACGGAGAGCCTTGGCCCTCAGTTCAGTATTTGCTGCTGTAAAAGATCCATTTCTGTGGAATATTATGCCAAGATAGCAGTATTTTTCGGTGTGTTGGATGGGCTGGCCTCCCAAAATGAATGTTTCATAGGATTGTTTTCTTTTAGGAGGGCAGAATATGAGAATCTTGGTTTTTTTAATGTTTACTTCAAGGCCCATAGAGTTACAGAAGTCGAATAGGATGTTCATATTGTCTTGCAAGGCCTTGGGACTTAGGGCAAGTAGGACAAGATCGTCAGCCCAGAGCAGATGTGATATTAGGACGTCAGCTAGAATAGGGTAATCACCAACAGATTTCAGGAGGGATGACAAGTCGTTGATATAGATTTTAAAAAGGTCCGGTGATAGGGGGTGTCCCTGCTCTGTTCCTTTTCCAATGTCAATATTAGGGGATAAGAGTTTGGAGATTTTTATATGAGCTATTGAGTTTCTATACATATCACTTAGGCAGTTGAAGAAGTTTCCAGTTATTCCGAGGCATGTGATTTTGTGCAGAAGGAGGTCCCTACATACAGTGTCAAAGGCCTTTCTTAGATCAATATAGAAAATATTGATATATAGGATAGAATATATAATATACATGTACACAGTATAATACCACAACACTACTATATAAAATACCTCTATTCAAGGATGTCCATGCAGTCCAGAGTACCCGCAACAGGTAAAAGGAGGGAGGGGTAGGGCTAGGCTAGGGTAGGGTAGGGTAGTGAAGGAGAGAGTGTTTGTGTCATTGTGATGGAGATGCAGTGCAGATGTGACATGAATCTAAAGAACTCATCTTATTTTCAAGGCTGATAGCCAGTCTTCTGATGCCACTGGCCCCCAGAGCTCACATGCACCCCGTTACCAAGTCGTTTACAGCTGCATTTCTTGTTGCGGGTACTCTAGACTTCCATGGTACATCCTCAAATTATTTGTTATATAGTAGTGTTGAAAGTATTAAAACTATATACTGTAAACGGGTAAACCGCCTCTGGAGTCTGGATGCTCTCCAGCTCCAAGATGATCCCCCAACTTCCATGAGCCGCAAACAGTAATTGAGGGGGTAGTATAACTCATAACTCTACCACCCCAGCCCACGTGGGTAGTAAGGCTTGTCATTTTGCCTCTGCATTAATCAGAACTGTTTGAAGGGGTACATAAATTATGTTTTAAGCTAGTAATAAAGTCTTATCAACAGCTAGGGATGGAATGGCTGTTTACACTAACATGGTTACTCATGTCCAATCATGCATTTGGAGACATCATTGACTTTCCCGATTACGAATGTGCAAAGAATCATTATTACAACCCTGTCTCTCTTGGTAAGTAAGAGAATCAAAATTTAAATAAGTGTTTTACATAGGATTTAACTTAGGTAAATGGTCTCATGATTGATATAAAGTTATATATCGTATCATCGGTAAGTTGAGGGTCTCTTATATTTTGAAAACGTATATTTTAAGATTTTAAAACATTCTTTATATCCCATAGAGTGTACTCCTCTCGCAACTGGTTACTTGGAGGGAAATGGAGCTATATTTTGTAACGCAACTTACAAATATGAATACACTGAAGATAACACTAATGATGATCTGGAGTTTGAATGCTCACCATGCTCTGGAGATGATGAATCAGTATCAGAATTTGGTAAGTGACTGCACACTTTTAAATTATTCTCAAAATAGAAAACATGGCTTAATGGACATCTTCGTGCTTCTTGACACCTTCTGTTACTTTGTAATTTCTCTCAGGAGACAGGTGCATTTCTTGCCCCAATGACCTTCTCCCAAGTGGTATCTGTAACTGTGATTACAAAACTAATATCCTTGAAGACACTGAAGTAACTGGGGATACGATTACTTTGCCAAAATGTACAAAATGCATTGATGTGAGTAGCAGTTCATTAATTCGGTATATCGTTTAGTTATTAATGATTATAGGATAGAATAGGCTAATATTGATGAAGATTAAAAAATGAAAGGTGGTGAGTTAGAGATGAATGCAGCTTAATTTCAACTTAATGTTTATGATCCCTCATAACTTTTACTTACTAAATTATTATTCCTCTTCAGGGATTTAAGCCAGGTTTTTATGATGAATATGGCATTCCCCGAAAATGTGTCAAATGTCAACATAGTGATTGCCAGTGCAAATTTGAAGCAGGTACACTTCCAGTTTCTGCTATTTTTACCAATCAACTTTATCTTCAATCTAAGCTTTTAGATTGTAAAATTTTATCTAGCCTGATAAATACTTATTGCCTACATTGGATGGAGGTAATACTTTATTTAAAATATCATTGCCCATTGGACATGATTTCAAAAACTCAAATTTTATTACAAATATGAGTGCATGCTCGCTTATCAATTTTATTTCAGGGTACTGTTTCCCTAACTCATATAACCAGTTTCCGATTGTGGATATATATGTTAGGTCAGAGGTGGTTACCAACCAGATGTCTTCAAAACTCCTTAAAGAGAACTTAGCAGGTACTAAACCACTGTTATTCTTCATTTAAGAATTTATGTTTAATTATTTTATCTATTAAAGTTATGTCAAGAAAGTGCTATTATAAATTCTGTATTGTTAAATCGCATAACAACCCATATGTGGGTTGTTGGTATCATTATATTGAATTATAATATATTCGCACTCTGAACGAACTCTAGTCAACAACATAAACTTTACACAGGCGTATCAGATCTATGTGAGATCAACATCTCCAAACAACAAAACAACATCACAGCCTGCCAAGTCCTAACAAACCTGTGTGTGTTGAGCCACAGCTACTTCACGAAGACTCCCTCCGTCCCCTACTCCGCTTGTAGTTGGCTTAGTGAGCTCACTACAGAGCAGCTCACTCCTGGGGTAGAGGTTCAGCATAACAGACCCGGCTGGTAAATAGAGTATTAAATATTGTTGCTCAAATATTGGTGTTCAAAAGTTTTGAACACTTTGTTTCTGGCTTCTGTTCTCAGACCTCATTACTTCATTATTTTTGTTTACCGATTTTTGTTTATTTTAAATTCCTTGATTTCTAAACTTCTTAACCTATAGGATCGATATTATGGATGTGTAATATCATGTGTAGCGTGAAGCGTCGTGTTTTTAAATCTGTAGTTCATAGTACTTCATGATCACAGTGTGCTTTTTGATAACAGTGTGCAGTGCCCTTTCCAGAGGGTTTTTTTTTAAAAGAAATTCTTTAACATTACTATTTTCTATCTATTACTGTTTGTATTATAATTTTGAGTAAACATTAATCGAGTAAACCGCTCGATTCCCAAATAATTACCCTACTAAGATGGGAAACTAAGATACATCTTAGCACAGTAAAACCCCGATTTACCGTGGAGTTTGGGAGAAAGAAAACATTCGCGGTAAATCGGGGTTTCGTTTGTTTACAATAATTACATTATGCATGTTAAGCCCTATTCGGGGGAAATGAGATGGCCGCGGTAAATCGGGATTTTACTGTATATTGTATATTGTAACTGTATACTCTACAGGGTTAGTAGAGTACCCTGGCTGTTGTACCGGTATGATATGGGTAGCTCACGGTACCGTAGTAACACGGAGGCTCTGGAAGAAAAGATAGAACAGTTTTACACTTTTGAGAGAGGACTGAACACTAGCAAACTCGACATACAGGTATCTTATTAAATTGTAATGTAATATCATTATCCAGGATTATTAGATTTTCAACTCTAGTTAAAGAAGTGTTCACATTTTATCAGCAGTTTTGTTCCGTCAGGTGGTGAGCTACACGCTGGACGGTAAAACTCTCCCCATCTCCCCTCTCACAACTCAACTCTCTCTGTGTGCTGAACCTGTTCTTACATTCGGGACTACGCTGTCTTATACCTGCTCTTCGAGTGTGGCTAGTAAGTAAATTAATCACTTACATACCACTATTATACCACATACATACCACTATACCACATACATACCACTAGACTATACATACCACTATACCACATACATACCACTATACCACATACATACCACTATACCACATACATACCACTATATCACATACATACCACTATACCACATACATACCACTTTCCCACATACATACCACTAGACTATACATACCACTATACCACATACATACCACTAGACTATACATACCACTATTATACCACATACATACCGCTATATCACATACATACCACTATACCACATACATACCACTATACCACATACATACCACTATACCACATACATACCACTATACCACGTACATACCACTATACCACATACATACCACTATACCACATACATACCACTATACCACATAAGCACATACATACCACTTCACCTATTACCAACAGCTGCACTCTCATCGATAAATTAATTAATAAATAAATGATATTAATGATTCAATTTGTGATTTGTTTATAACTGGCCAGTAAAATATGCAGCTCTTTAAGATAACCTAACTCCCATCAGAGCTAAAAGTAAAAGAGACACTATTCCACGAGCTCTACCTGCAACTGAGAGGAGGTGGTCTCATTCCCATACCGGTGCTGGTTGAGAACAACCTGGACAACACTGAAACTGGCAGTACTGAAACTGAGGCTGATATCAAGTCGTGGAGTCTTACTAGACGCTTCTTTTTAGTTGATAATCAGTTAGGTGAGAGTGATCATAACTGTTGATATTTTTCTGGTTTTAGTTCGATAACTTCTGTTTTTTTCTTAAAGTTTGTTCATTTCATTTTTTGTATCTGAACTTAGATAATATTATGATCATCTCGTAAGGTTTCGTCAATTGTTTATGCTATTCTCTGGTTGGTAATATTAATCTGAACCAAACAACAGGAGTGGACCAAGTTGAAAATACACCCAAGTTCGTCAGATACGCAGCTAAGATATCCTTATCAGTGACAGTGATCCAGGATACGAACGGGAATATTAACGTGCCGTTAATGCGCGTTTCTTACAGGGATGTGGCCACTAATGAACCTAATGATAAGGTTTGGAATTGTAAACTTGTTTATTTCAGTTGAAATATTAAACACAATGGTAACTGATCTCAGAAAATAAAACACACGTGTAATAGTATGATATAGCACGGCTCCGCTAGACCATGAAATAAATCATTTGATATTTTTTTTTTAATATGTTTTTATTTGAAAGTACCTACAGCTTTTGTGATTTATCTTATGCAACTACTACAGTAAAACATTACCTGAAACGTGAGCAAGTTGGGGATTTCCTAACTGCCAGATGAATAAAAAACTCGACAGTGACAGACAAGTGATTTGACATATTTGACATATTATTTGAAATATTTGGCATATTTGACATATTTGACATATTTGACATATTTGACATATTTTTAAAAGGTATTCGTGTGTAACAAGGTCTGCATAATTTAAAACAAAATTTGATAATTGTGTTGAAAATCTACAGATCATATTTGAAACAAAAATGCAAGACCTGAATGTAACCACCGATACTTTCAAATCAGGTAGAGACAAAGCTGGAAGTACTGTACAGTAAGAGTGAAGAAAGATTAGAGGATGACATGGGTATAGCTGTCGGAGTAATGAGCTTTCTCGGGCTCGTCTACGCAAGTAATTATCATCTGCTACTTTATTAAGTCTTATCTAGGATAATTATTGGAAACATGTGCCAATTTTTTGAATTCCTTGAGAAGGGATTGTTTTTCCCTTCTATATTTACTTCAAAAACGGAATTCTTTTATTGCTTTAAATATCATAGTTTTAAATGTACGTTGCTTGAAGCTCAGTTTAACAACTTTGATGCACAAGGTTTATATGGGAGTAGCACCATCGAGTATCTGTAGTATATTTGAAAAATCACCGCTTAGACAAACGGAAAGGAGAAATCCAAAGTATTTTGAAATTAAGTTCAACAGATTACGGATCACCGATTATAGCATCTCTAACGTAGGACCACGATTATATAACAACACGATAAACGAAATAAACAAAATCCTTCCCTTCAACGTACCTAAGTTACAAGATAAGTTTATTAATTCGTACAAGGACAACATTGTACGTTACTTACTGGACAAACAAAAACTTGACCTAGAAAACCTTTCGTGGACGGACAAGAACTTTGTCCTTTACAACTTTTAAACAAAATATTAGCAAAATATAACAGCTGTAAGAATCCTAAACGTTAGTGCACTGTGCAGTCAAATAAATGAACTGCGATAATGCATTTGACAGTCAGTCACTGCAATTTATTCTGCAACTTATTTTTCAATTTTCACTGCCACACTTAGGCTTATCTTGCCTACACATTAAAAAAAACGAAATTCCTTGCGCACCGCGTACTAAAATTACTTGGATTTCTACCGCTTTGATAAATGACTACATGAAGATGGGGAGTTAATATTGTTGATTTATATAATATAGATTATTTATTCTTTAGTGTAGATTAACTTTATTTTTATATATTTTACCAAGTGTGAAGGATCAACCATACGTTATTGATATTTTTTTGAAATATTTAATGATACATTGATATAATAATAAATGATTGTAATATTTTTATTGAGGCACATGCCACCCCATCGCGGGTTTACTACTACCCACTATTTGTTTTTTGTATCATCATACATCAATAAATACTGCCATAGTTTAATTTTCCGACATTCTTTTCAGTGGTAAAAGCGGTAGGATACCGCCGTAGAAACAACATAGTCGAGGATTGTTCGTGTAGAACAATCAGCTGTTTTGTTCTTTTCCTTTGTTCGGGACTAGGGACTTTGTTCTTCTGGGTGATCGCTGGAACCAGCTGGTACTATCTCTGCATTTACAAAGGTAAGCACCATATTTCACTTATGAGATTCGATATAATATGTGGAAGTATCCCTCTCCGCCTCGACCTCTCCGCCTAAGGGCCCCCAAACCTCCCCCAACCCCAAGGGCCCCGAACCTCCCCCCAAGAGCCCCCGAACCTCCCCCCAAGGGCACCCGAACCCCCCCAAGGCCCCCTGAACCCTCCCCCCCAAGGGCCCCCGAACCTCCCCCCAAGGGCCCCCGAACCTCCCCCCAAGGGCACCCGAACCCCCCCCCCCCCAGGGCCCTATAACTAACCCCACTCACTCTACAGGACAGAGAGCAGTATCAGTGTTCCTCCCACTAGATGACAACCCTTTTAGAGCCGTTCTCATCTCCTGTTTCGTCCTTACTCTCATCTCCAGACTCTATTTCCTCTTCACTTCCACCAGTTACGACGTTTTCTTTATTGACTGGGAGAAGCCTAAAGGTACGCCGGTTTTTGTTTCTAAAACCACTTTTTAAAAGTTCATATATTTTATTATGTCGTTATTTTGTTGGCACTATTCGTTAATGCTTAGGAGCAACTGAACGTTGGGACAGGCGAGAAGTTGTCATTTTCAGTGATATCAGGGACTAACTCCAAATAAAATGACATCCCTAAATAAATTAAGTGCCCGTTAATGCCAGAGTGGGGGAATGATCATTATTCCAGTTTTCACATATTATTATGTGATAGAGCTGCTGGAGATGAACAAGCTGGAAAAACAAACGCATAAAAATCTGACCTTGCGTCGCTGAATTATTGCGGCCAAATTTTGAGGTTTACCTGTTATTACATGACGTACAACTTTAACTCTATCAACATTTCAGAACATTTGGAAAAGACTGGCCACACCCAGGACCTGGAACTTGGCACAGGTGTTTCTTGGACTGTTACCAATTTTTATATTTGCATCTGTTCTTGAAATATGATGTTAACTTTACCCCTAATTGTCTTTTTTAAGACAGCTAACCTCATATTTCAAGAACAGAGGCAAATATACAAATTCTGTACAATCGAATTGTGGGCATTTGGTAACAGTCCAAGGAACACCCTTTTCACTCACTTCATTACACTCAATTATTCACTTCATATCATTTTACTACTCTATCTTTCAAAACCAACATGGCCCATGTATGAGGGATCTGGACGTTGTTTCCCAAGCTGACTGTCGGCCTCCAGTCCCCCCCCCCTCCCTTCCCGACAGATTACCGAATTGCCTCACCCTTCTCCAGAATACTAAATGTTTACCCTCCAGGTAAGTTCATTCCCACAAGTACATCAACAAAGAACGAAGAAACACTAACCAGTGTTAGCATCTGGAGAACGTACTTCCTAGCTAACGAGTGGAATGAACTGCACAGCATCAGGAAAATTAGTCCTACCTTCCAGTATATGGCTTTCCTCTTCTTCACAGGTACATCATAGTTAATTAATTAATTACCTAATTGATTGATTGTTATACAGAAATCAGCACTACTTAAAAATTAGCTTACCTCTTCTTTCCAGGTGCATAATCAATCAATTAACAAATAATTAATTAGTCAATTAATTTTTCAGAGTACGTGGGTTTACGTTACCTCTCAACGAGTCAACCTGATGCGTTTGTCAACACTGCAGAAGTTAACTACGTCTCTCAATACAGTCTTATTCTGAGAGTCGGGATAGTCTTCTCTGTCATGTTCATTCTCTGGGTCCTGCAGAGGTGAGGATATGTTTTATAAAATGTTCCTTTTACATACTTTTAATGGAAACTTTTCTAAATTTAAACGATACATGTCAGTTATCAGGTAAATTGTAATTAATCGCTGGGATTTTGTCCCGTCTGTAAAATTAACAGTAAACCAAGCACGGTAGAACATAGCGAACCGTATTTGTAAACATTTACTTGATATAATAATAATAAATAAATATAATAATAATATCAAGGAATTTGACGATGTTTCCCGTTTATGAGCTCATTGTTTTGTTTGTTTTAAGAAATATTTAAATGTAAGTATCATAGTAGTATTAATAATATCAAAATCTTATTAAAATTTAAATATCTCAACCTAAAAGTAGCTTAATCCTCGCCCCAGGTTCTATAATTTCCTTTACGAGAGGTTCATCTCTGACCAAGTGCAGATGTACATCGACCTATGCTCAATCAGTAACATCAGTGTGTTCATCTTGTCTGACAATATATATGGGTATTACATACACGGGCGCGCGGTGCACGGCCACGCGGACGCAGACATGGCTGAGATTGTAACATCGCTCAAAAGAGAAGAGGATAATTTGTGTAGTAGACGTGGATTGGGTCCAGATTCTGAGCAGCAGACTTTTGACATGGTGAGTTCGAGAACAGTCACTTCATGTAAATTATTGATAAACTTTACTTATAAAAATTAGTTAATTAAAAGTTTTTAACATAAGCTTACTCATAAATTTAAAACATTCTTCTTGAATTCGTCCTGACCGACTGGCCTCTTTATCTCATCTCCTCGACTCAGTCAGCTGACAGTATACTGTGTACAGCTCTCAGTAACAGTCTCTCAATTGTGACGTCACAGCTCTGATATTGTGACGTCACAGCTCTGATATTGTGACGTCACAGCTCTAATATTGTGACGTCACAGCTCTGATATTGTGACGTCACAGCTCTGATATCTCCAGGTTATCCCGATCTTACTTCGAACAAACTACAACAGAATAACCCTGCCACTCACATCACGTGACATCAGTTCCCACAGAAACCCTGTCAGTGAGACAGATAAGCAGATAGCTGCTTACTGGCACATCAACAGGTAAATATCAGTGAGACAGATAACCAGATAGCTGCTTACTGGCACATCAACAGGTAAATATCAGTGAGACAGATAACCAGATAGCTGCTTACTGGCACATCAACAGGTAAATATCAGTGAGACAGATAACCAGATAGCTGCTTACTGGCACATCAACAGGTAAATATCAGTGAGACAGATAACCAGATAGCTGCTTATTAGCACATCAACAGGTAAATATCAGTGAGACAGATAAGCAGATAGCTGCTTACTGGCACATCAACAGGTAAATATCAGTGAGACAGATAAGCAGATAGCTGCTTACTGGCACATCAACAGGTAAATATCAGTGAGACAGATAACCAGATAGCTGCTTACTGGCACATCAACAGGTAAATATCAGTGAGACAGATAAGCAGATAGCTGCTTACTGGCACATCAACAGGTAAATATCAGTGAGACAGATAAGCAGATAGCTGCTTACTGGCACATCAACAGGTAAATATCAGTGAGACAGATAACCAGATAGCTGCTTACTGGCACATCAACAGGTAAATATCAGTGAGACAGATAACCAGATAGCTGCTTACTGGCACATCAACAGGTAAATATCAGTGAGACAGATAAGCAGATAGCTGCTTACTGGCACATCAACAGGTAAATATCAGTGAGACAGATAACCAGATAGCTGCTTACTAATACTGGTACATAAACCGGTCTTCTGTGTCGTGTGAACATTGAGGCTGTAACTTTGCTGTTTGAGCTTTACTTTTGCAACCTTATCTATATTTATAATACAGGGTGTTTCAACAGTCTTGCGTGGATTTAAATGATGTATACTTATTATTTCTATAAAAAAAATTAAAAGTAAAGCTTGACACTGAGTTGGAGAGAGTTATAGAGAGTTGGAAAGAATTAAGGTGAGAATAATTTTGTTAACTTGGCTTATCCCAAGGAATCAGGTATATAGGTCGAAACCATTTTCCTTGTCGTAACCATGGTAACGTGACATCATTTAACAGGCTGTTTGCGGCGTTTATAGACCGCTCTCTAGACGATATAGACTACACAATCGGTGACAAACTCTTTCTGGAGAAAGTTCTCGACATGGAAATTAGGGAACCTCCTCCGGGAAAAGGTTTGTAACTATGTTAACTAGTTTTATGATTATTTGTAATCATGACAACTAGTTTTATGATTATTTGTAACCATGGCAACTAGTTTTATGATTATTTGTAACCATGGCGACTAGTTTTATGATTATTTGTAGGATCTCCCATCCCTCCTATACATGTTGCTCCTCCTCCAGAACCAGAACAGACTGCTGTTTCTCTCCCTTCTCCCGCAGCTGAACAGTCTAACACGGAGTCTAACACGGAGCCGGTCCGTGAACCAGTGGTTGAACGCCACAAAAGTAATAAAACACTTCTATATGATCGCTCCAAGGCCGTGTGTCCCTTACTCCTCGAAGGGAACTGCCCCCACGGTATATCTGGGAAAGGCTGCACCAACTACCATCCCCCATGGTGCTTCAAGTTCCAGAACAACGGCAGAGGTGGCGAACGGGGTTGCCACATTGCCGATGACAGATGCACATATTTCCACCCACAGCTGTGCCAGAACGCTGTGAAACAGGGTATCTGTCTTAAAAAACCGTGCAAGAGGGTACATATCAGGGGTACCATCACCAACGAGAGGAACCTCAAGTACGCCAAGAGAGGAAGCCAGACATCATCCTCATCTTCTTCCCAGCAAAACCGCCACCCTCCTAGATCTAACGAGAATAGAGAAAGATCCCAGACTAGGGACAACAGTGGATACAGTTCAGGTAGGAAAAGGACGGAGAGTAACTCCTCAACTCGGTCCAACACTACCGGGGCGAACCGTAATCGGACAGTTAGCTTCAATGAAGCCCACGTTTCTGAACCCAGCCAGGATTTTCGGAATCACTACTCCTCGATGAAAGCGGACTTGACCAAAGACATTGCTGCAATGATCCAGTCTTCTCTCCGCGATCTCCTACGATCTCCACAGGTACTCCAAAACCTTCAGCACCAGGACCTCCTGTATCCCCCACAACCTTCCCTGAACCATCACCTCTCCTCCCAGCAGCGCCAGTACCACCCAACACCTCCTGTCCCAGACTACATTCGATCAGGTCACCACTCAGTCCTGTGAAGAGTAATCTTCCGATCTCCAACGCATTCCTCCTCAACATCCAAGGAATGAACCCTGGCATCACCAACCAGCGATGGAAAGTGAAAGCCCTCCAAGAATCTATCAGCTCCAACCCGATCCACACTCCTTTCTTCACCTTGACAGAAACCCACCTCAAGTCCTATCACTTGGATGCGGAGGTTCACATCCCAGGTTATACCTGCTACCGAGCGGATCGTACCAGTCGAGCTTGTGGCGGAGCCGCTACCTATCTCCACAACTCCATCACAGCAGAAGAAACAAAGTCCTTCTCAAACTCCTACTGTGAACTCGTCACCATCTACAGTAAAGAAGCTAACATCGTGATAGCGGGCATTTACCGGCCCCCTTCAGCTCCTTTTGACAAGTTTGATGAATGCCTCTCTACCCTCCAACAGTTCATCAACGGAATTCAACGCACCCCTGTACTGCACATTACAGGAGACTTCAACCTACCCTTCATCAACTGGACGAATTCTTCTATCGACACAGGATGCAGTATCTCCCTCTCAGACCGACAATCAGCCCTAGCACTTCTGAACTTCAATGAAGAATGCCTGCTCCAACAAGAGGTCCTCGAGCCAACTCGCAAGAACAACATCCTAGATCTTGTTTTCTCAAACGACTCTGACTCGATCCACAGCATCTCTGTTACCAAGACAGAGTTATCAGATCATGACATTGTGAGCTGCACTCTCCTCAATCCTGAACTCCTCCTCCCCTCGCAGTCTCCGGAGCGGCCAGTCTTCACCCCCTCCTGCCTCTTTGAGGACATAAACTTCAACTCTGCAGACTGGGATGCTATTAATGCAGAACTAGTAGAAGTAGACTGGGCTTCTATCACTGACCCAAGCAACGATCAGGATATACAGCTTGGACATTGTTTGAAGACAAGGTAGCGTTCATATGCTCTAAGCACGCTCCCTCGCACAGCAGAAACATCCAAGTGTCCTCACAATCCTCCATTCCCAAGTCCAAAAGGGAACTTATTCGTAAGAAGCGCCGTCTCTCATTGATCCTTGCCAGGATCAATGCTATAAAGCATGGTGTTAGAACTCCACGGAACAGCGTTAAACTCGATAACCTCAACAGCGAACGTGCTAACATCGAAATTCTTATGAAGGAAGACATCAAACAAGAACGGCTCCGACAGGAGATAGCTGCGTTAGCTAAGATGAAGATCAATCCCAAGGCATTTTATTCTTACGCTAAGAAATCGGCTAAGTTCAAGGCGCCTGTTGGACCTCTCGCCGATGATGCTAACAACCTCCAGTGCGATCCCACTGTTATGGGCAACATCCTTCAGAAGCAGTATCAGAAGGCCTTCAGTAACCCTGAAAACGTCAACCCCGATAACATCCCTGACGAAAAAGGGCGGGGGGGGCCAATGGCATAAATGGAGAAAATGGAGAATTACTCATGGGTTTTTCCATTTTCTCCATAGAAATAGTCTCAATTTTATGCCATTTTATGCCATTTTATGCCATGGAAAACCTGAAAAATTTAGAATTTCGAGAAAAATTATTTAAAAAAAAGATATTTTCGGCCAATAATGAACAGAGTATCATGAAACATGGAGAAAAGTGGTTTTCAGAAAAACTTTGAAAAATGTTGACTTAGAAAATGTTCGATCCGAGTCATTTACGAAACGTACCTCCCGTATCGAGAGCTCCCGATTCCGAGCTCGTGTTGCAAAGGGAGGCCTGCCTTCCGAGATCGCATTACCTCGAGTCAAAAATTGTGTATCGAGGCCAGGGGAAGGTGTGGACTTCGAAAAACCGAAAAAATATTTTCGGCCGATAATGAACAGAGTATCATGAAACATGGAGAAAAGTGGTTTTCAGAAAAACTTTGAAAAATGTTGACTTAGAAAATGTTCGGTCCGAGTCATTTTCGATACGTACCTCCCGTATCGAGAACTCCCGATTCCGAGCTCGTGTTGCAAAGGGGAGGCCTGCCTTCCGAGATCACATTACTTCGAGTCCAAAATTGTGTATCGAGGGGAAGGTGTGGACTTCGAAAAACCGAAAAAATATTTTTGGCCAATAATGAACAGAGTATCATGAAACATGGAGAAAAGTGGTTTTCAGAAAAACTTTGAAAAATGTTGACTTAGAAAATGTTCGGTCCGAGTCATTTTCGATACGTACCTCCCGTATCGAGAGCTCCCGATTCCGAGCTCGTGTTGCAAAGGGGAGGCCTGCCTTCCGAGATCACATTACTTCGAGTCCAAAATTGTGTATCGAGGGGAAGGTGTGGACTTCGAAAAACCGAAAAAATATTTTTGGCCAATAATGAACAGAGTATCATGAAACATGGAGAAAAGTGGTTTTCAGAAAAAATTTGAAAAATGTTGACTTAGAAAATGTTCGGTCCGAGTCATTTTCGATACGTACCTCCCGTATCGAGAGCTCCCGATTCCGAGCTCGTGTTGCAAAGGGGAGGCCTGCCTTCCGAGATCGCATTACTTCTAGTCCAAAATTGTGTATCGAGGGGAAGGTGTGGACTGTGGACTTCGAAAAACCGAAAAAATATTTTCGGCAAATAATGAACAGAGTAGCATGAAACGTGGAGAAAAGCGGTTTTCAGAAAAAATTTGAAAAATTTTGACCGAAAAAATATTTTCGGCTTATAATGAACAAGGTAGCATGAAACGTGGAGAAAAGTGTTTTTCAGAAAAACTTTGAAAAATTTTGACTTAGAAAATTACCCCTCGCTCGGTACACAATTTTGGACTCGAGGTTTCCCCCTGGTAATGCGATCTCGGAAGGCAGGCCTCCCCTTTGCAACACGAGCTTGGAATCGGGAGCTCTCGATACGAGAGGTACGTATCGAGAATGACTCGGGCCGAAAATTTTTCAAAGTTTTTCTAAAAACCACTTTTCTCCACGTTTCATGCTACCCTCTTCATTATAAGCCGAAAATATTTTTTTGGTTTTTCGGTTTATCGAAGTCTGCACCTACCCCTCGATACACAAATTTGGACTCGAGGCTTCCCCCTGGTAATGCGATCTCGGAAGGCAGGGCTCCCCTTTGCAGTGCGAGCTTGTTTCGACTGTCGAGGATGTAGGTCTCACTTATTACTCTCCCCTATTACTCACTCCTGCTGTAGCCTGTAGAAATAACTTTACACTAGGCTTGAGTAATTATGAGTTTGCCTGAAGTGTGCCTCTACTAACCTAGTATAAGCATCTAGTAGCCTACTATGAGCTTTCATAAGCTTGTTACGCCCCTAGTAAGCGTAAATAAACATGTAAGGATGTCCAATTTAGGTGTTAAATGGTGTTAAAGATGAAATTTCGAAGACAAAATTCATGGCATAAAATGGAGAAAATGGAGAATTACTCATGGGTTTTTCCATTTTCTCCATAGAAAAAGTCTCCATTTTATGCCATTTTATGCCATTGGCCCCCCCCCCCCCCCAAAAGGGCATACAGAAGAACTCTCCGACATCACCTTCTCGGTTAACGACGTCCTTAGTGCTATCAAGGAAACGGGGAGGTTCTCCGCTCCAGGACCAGACAAGTTCCCTGCTCTCATCTTGCGGGAATGCAAGGACGCTCTTGCTCCCACTATAGCCAAGCTCTGGCAGCTATCTTTTGATACTTCGGACATCGCTGAGATGTTCCGCTCCCAGAGTATCATCCCTATCTTCAAGAAGGGGAGCAAGGCTGTTGCCGCTAACTACAGGCCGGTTTCCCTGACCTCTCACCTCATCAAACTCTGTGAACGCATCATGCGCAACCAGATGGTCAGCTTCCTTGAACGCAACAACATGTTCAACCCTGATCAGCACGGTTTCCAAAAAGGCAAGAACTGCCTCACTCAACTTCTCCATCACATCGAGGATATAATCTGCGATCTCAACCTCGACAAAAATGCTGACGTGCTCTACCTCGACTTCAGCAAAGCCTTTGATAAGGTTGACCACAAGATACTGCT